TGACTACACTTATAATTTTGACGTTTTTTTCATCCATTGCCTTTGTGGGCAAAACAAATGTTTTTAATTAAAATTCTTAATGATAATATGTCCTATAATGGCTAAAAAACTTAGATTAAAGTCATCCGTCCAAATATCAGTGTTTAGACAAGTAATTATTAATGATCATGCTTTTAATCTTAAATTTTATTTCATGGTATATTTTTGGACCTATAGTTTTCATGAGAGTTTTCCGGTTCACAACTTTTTTATTTTGTTATCCATATGTAACACCAACATTTATCTCTTGGCCTAGCTTGTAAAATTCTTCACTTTCTGTTGCATTTAAAGATCACGATAAAATCACCTAAACATAAAAAGAAAATAGAACTAACGAAATGATACCGGATGTTGTTTATAAAATGAGGAAAATTTGTAGTTTTCATAAATTATTCTTTTTTAAAAAAGAACTAAATTAAATAAGAAAATATATAATATAATTATAAAATTGCAAATTTATATTTATAAAAAAACAATTTTAAAAATTAAAATTTCCGTGATTCACGGGAAATTTATGTTCACGCCCGATCACTCCCGTAGAAAATTTTGGGAAGGCCCGTCACGCCTTGGAATTTAAAATTTATTCACAGTCACGCCGTGACCCACCGTGACACGATGGGTCATGCGTAATTTCACGGCCCGCTCCCACCTCTACTAGCAATACTTATTTTAACCCATTTTGGTCAAAAAAATTCAAAAAACTTTAAAAATAACGATTATGACAATTGTCACTTTTCAATGGTACATCTTCATGAAATTTTAATTTAGCATGTTTATAATCTATATTTTTACCCATTTACGTCAAAAAATTGTAAAACAACTTTAAAAATAATAATTATGACAATTGTCGCTTTTATATGGTACATCCTAATTGAAATTATAATTTAACATGTTAAAAATACATATTTTTGCCCATTAGCGTTAAAAAAATCTAATATGTTTAAAAATACCGATTATGATAATTGCCATATTTCCAAGGAACATCTTCATTGAATATTTAATTTAACTTCTTTACAACATAAATGATATTTTTACCCTTTTGAGTCAATAAATTTCAAAAATCTTATAAAATAACGAATATGACAATTGTCACATTAAATTATCTTCCTCAAAAAGATCATATAAAAAACAGAAATAAGTTGAATATAAATATTTTAAAAAAAATTATTTAGAAAACCCACCTCTTTTAATATACTTAAGAAATAGATGTTTTACAAAAATGATAAAAAAAACTATAAAAGATTTCACTTAAAAATTGTATATTTATAATAAATTTCACAAAAGAATTCCTCAAAAAAAATATATTTACAAAGAAGATTTAAAATTTTTATCAAAATATGTTCAAAAATCTTTTTGAACTTCAAGAAATATTTTTTACTTAAGATCTTGGGCGTGAAAATCACTAATAAATTGTAACAAAAATAATATTACAATAGTAGCATATCATTTTTTATTAAAAGACATCAAATAATAAATAATATGTTGTTTTCCTTTAAATAAATGCATTCGCAATATATTTATTGTTTCGCGGTAATGCTCTCGCGATAATGACTTCGCGCAAACATATTCGCGATAAAAAATTCGCTGTAATGTGTTCGCGTAAAATGTTTCGCTAAAATGTATTCGCTCTAATAAATTCGCGGTTAAGGTTTCGCGGAAATAAATTTGCGACAATGGCTTCGCGAAATTGTCATCGCTATAAATGTTTCGCGGAGAATTCGCAGAATTGGTTTCGCGATTTTACCTTCGCTATAAAAACTTTTCGCGATAAATGATATTCGCGATATAAGTTTCGCGAAAAAATGTTTCTCGATAAAAGTTTCGCTGAATTGACCTGATACGGTTTCGACGACTATAATAAAATATTCTTATTAAAGGAAACAAAAAGAGATATTATTATAAAAAAGTTTATAAAGCAACAATCAAAAAATTGAAATTACCAAATTTTATTATTTTTATGTGTCCAAAAGACAATCCAAAATGTTGATGATCATTTTAATCAGAGTTGTTAAAGTAACTAGATAAAAAAATGTGTTATCTGTATCTAGATAGATTTTTTAAAAAAATATCTGTATCTATATCTAAAATTATTTTAGAGGTATCTGTATCTCTTTTTAGATACTTTTAAAGATACATTGATATATTTTTATTTAACGTTTTTTTATATTATAAATAATAAAACTTGAATGCAAAATTTATTTTATTTCATATGAGCATATAATTTAAATATATATATATTAAAAAATATTAAGACTACTATAAAATTAATATATAAAATATTAAAACTTATATATAATTTTGATATTACAATCCATCTCTAGGAATCTGTCATTTTTATTTTCAATGGAATTAGTTAATTTTATTTTATCATACTAATTTTAAAAATTTATTTTAGATTAATAATAGTGATAAAGAGGAAAAAGTAATAATCAATGAGGCATAAACAAGTTCAGACATTGTTTATTCATGGCCAATTTATAGAGCATATTTCAAAATAATATCTCAAAATAAAGAAAACAAATCTCTGATAGTAAATGTTTGCCATGTCTACCAAAAAATACGAAAATTTCAGTTAGCATTACCTCAACTTACAACATTGTAAAACATTTAAGAGTATAGATATTAAATAAATGTTTACAATTGTAATTTTAAATTTTAAGAGTAAACATCATACACTGTGAAAATAAAAAAAGGGGAAGGAGATCTATTATAGAAAATATTGGACTAGGTTCATCGTCCACTGATAATTTTGCCAAAAGACCTCAGACTTTAACCACAACAACTTTAGATGATATAATAACTGCCTTTATCATAGCTGACATTCAGCCATTTCCAATGAAAATCCTTCATTTATTTTAAAATAATTTTTTCAAAAATGAATGTCGAAATTTTAGTATTTTTAAAGAATATTCTGATTTAAAATTGTTATTCATAAAATATAGTACCACAAAAAATGTCTTTACAATTAAACGAGGATGGCTTAATGATCAAAAATTTTGAAATATTACTGAAATCTAATAATTAATAATAATCATTTAATCACATATTTTCATATATTATATTATTATATTAAAATCTAAAAATCATTATTTTAGATATATTTAGATAAATCTGATATCGAGTTAATAAATATTTAGTCCTATGAACTTTCACAATGGAATCCTAATTTAAGTTTATGCAAACCTTATATGAGTATAATAAAAATTGAATCTATATCTAGATACATTTTAAAAATTGTATCTGTAACTAGATAACTTTTTAAACGATGTATCTGTATCGTTATCTAGATCCATTTAATAAGTATCTTTTAATAACTATGATTTTAATACAATGATTAATATAAAATGGACAAGAAATCATAAAATTGGATTATCTGATTTACATATAACGGTAAAGTTGGTATATCGAAATATGATATAATAATAAATATTAATTAATAATTTAAATAGAGGAAAGAAAGAGACAACATAATTAATGCAAGAATATACGGAAAATAAGAAAATGAATATTTTAAACAAAATTTAAAAAAAATATCTGAATCTTTGTCAAAAAAATGATATAAGATTCTTTTGAAAATAAAGTCACTTTAATACACTTATAGTATCTTATTAAAAAGATACATAGTACAAGAAAAAAAGAATCTTGTATCTGAGATACAAGTATTTGAGGTAATAATGCCCAACTCGTAATTATTACCTTTTTTATTAAAATCATAAAAAAAAGAATTCTAACATTAAAAAATTAAAGTTTAGTACAATGGTGAACAGTCGGAAAATTTTGATTGTTGGTTTTAACAATTATTTTTACGAAATAGTTTATTATAGTGTATACCATTTTGTTATATGGCGAAAACATTGATTACTATTGTAACAAAAATTTGACATATTACTATTTATAAATTATTATACATAGTTAATAGTTGTTGCAGCAAATATTTTAAATGTATGAATAGCCGAATAGATGAATTAATTTAAAATACTGATTTTCAAACATTTAATCTATGTCAATTGATCATATCGCCAAATTAAGCTATCTCTGAACAGAAGAGGATAAAATAAATATAGCTGGAAAATATTATTGACACGACTATCATTATTAAAATATAAATAATTATCACACACAAATATGATGTCTGATCCGTGAAGTTATTTTCTCTTTGTGTTTAAAGACAAAAAGTCCATTTACAAGATATCATTTTTTCTCATTTTAAACTGTACCAAAAGAATTTCAAAACAGGGATTGGAGATACTGATGAGAATAGCCAAAAAATCTTATTATATTTTCATTATATACATATCTCAAATGGAATAGCCATGCGAGTGCACATTAGGAGGTTGTCAAGAGTGGTGGCACCCCCCCCCCCCTTCCCCCCCCAACAATTATTTTAGAGGCCGCCAAATTTTGTTTTTTGTTAATGTAATAATTTTTAATTTAAAAAGTCAAAATATTACATATATACTTAATCCAATTCAGTCATTTCTTTTATATCTAAAATAATCATAATTACAAGTTTGTCATAAAGACAATTATTTTGACCTTGCTGAATTTTTGAAAATGATCCTTTTTTTGTTAATAATTTTAAAATGACCTACACTTTTTTTATTTTAAAAAAAATTCCCCTAGTGACACTAATGAATCAGTTATGCACGAAACTATTAATTGCCTACCAAATACTTCCTTTGCGCTTTCAGTCATCTTAGATATATATAAGGTATGCATTGCACAGATGCCTTCCATCCTTATATAATATTGATGATAGATTGCAAATAGACATTCACTTGAATACAAGATATAGTAATGGGCAATTTGGTAAAAATAAGAATTTGCTAATCGAAAATTATTGTGATTATTAAAAACTATAATTTAAAATTTTATTTTAAACAAATCAAGTTTTTTTAGACCGGTCACAATTTAACATTAATCTAAAATAACGAGTTGTTTACACACAATAAAAAAATTAATTAAATGTTTACTTTACTCCACGGTAAAACTTTCCATCTAAGACATTTCGATGATCTACAAAATCTCGTGGTTGCGATGAACTCATTATTCGAAATAGGATTTTTGTTATTAAAATACTTTGATGGATTAGTTGAATTTACTAGACACAAGAATAAAATTAGCATTTCTCCATCAACACTATTTCGGCATTCCACAACTCTTGATTGAATACCTTTGCCACAAATTTTTGAGCACTGAGAAAATATAAATGTATTTAATAAAATTATATTTAGATAGATATGAGGTCCGCAACGGGAGTTTTTTTAGCCTACAAGTCGGCCCAGCCATTTACTCAAAATACTCTAAATTTAAATGTGGTATCCGCTCACAAGTTGTTTAAAACATATGATTGGCTAGTTTGGTTCTTTATTTAATTTAATTAATATATTTTTCTTCCTTAAAATTATAAAATATGCAAAATGTGGAAATAAACAATGAATTTTTATAGGCCCACATTGCCCATTTCACCCTTAAAATATTCTAACCTCCCGCTTGTTGTTTAGAAATATTTTTTCCCCCATATGCCAAAAATTTTAAAATTAAGGTTCGGTTGATCCATCGGGCATGTTCTAATCAATTTTGTTATTAAATCTGTATTATTAACATTCTAGATCTAGAACGATTATCATTAGAGTAACAACTTTAGCAAGAGAGCATGAGATGAGACATTGTAAATAAATAATAATAAATCAAAATATTTCAAAAATAAAATCACCATCTGTTTAATATTTTTTAAATTATGTATTTTTAAATAATAATAGTATGACTTCTATTTCAATTTCCATATCAATTGAGTCATTGTATATTAAAAAAAGAATACTTGTACAAAGGGATGTGAACCCGAACCTTCCCGAATCCTCGTATCCAAATAAAGGACCTTACTAGTGTATTTTAAAAATAATAACATTAAGATTACAATCAAAACAATTATGTTTATCTGATTTTTATGGCATATGGATTAGATGCCGATTAGATTTAGAAAGATTTACTAGTCCTTTTTTATAGGAAATATTAAATAACATAAAAATTTAAGAGCAACAATATTTGCAAAATAGTGTTGTATACGCTTCTATATATTTAGACCCTCGATATCAAGTTTTATTGTATGAGCAAAAACAATGGCTAAAGACCATCTTAAGGATTTATGGCATACGTAAAATTCATTATTTACAATATATTGGAGGCTACGACAATAATACCTACTGGTTGTAGGGATAATAATGATAATGATAGCAACATTGATGATCTTGAAATTTTCTTTTAGATAGAGAAAAAAAAATCAAATTATTATCAAATAGAGAGGAGGATCAAATAATGCCTATTACATCTTTAATAGAAAAGTTCTCAGAAGTTAAGAGAATAAATAAGGATACAAATATTTTAAAATTCTGGTAAGAAAATTCTTCAATATATCCAGAATTATATATCTTGTCTAGAATCGTCTTGGCTATACCGGCCACACAAGTACAATAATATATGTATTATAAAGATACCTATCTATTTTAGGTAAGCGTAGAACGTGGATTTTCATCTTTAAAATATATATTGTCTAATTTATGTGGATTAAGATATTAGAATTGTGAGATTGAATAAAACATTTCAAATATAAATTATTTTATTTTTAAATTTTTTATTTGTAAATTATGAATATGTATATATTGAAGTATAATAATAAATGAATGAAAAAAAAGTTTTATTTTGAGTCATTTTTTTTATGTTCCCTGAACCCGGACCATTTTAAAATTTTATTACTGTACCCGAACCCGGACCCTTTTTTTTTTGTTGAAGGATTCACATCCCTGCTTGTATAATTGCATTTATTTATTATAATTTTGGTTTAGGCGATAACGTTAATATTTATATTCAAATTATGAAACTAAAGTAAGTAAATCTAAATATCATACATATAATGATGTTAATATTTATATTCAAATTATGAAACCAAAGTAAGTAAATCTAAATATCATACATGTAATGATTTAATATTAGATATAAATTAAATAAAATAGATGTCATAATTTTCGTTTAAATTTTTGACCAATTGAAAATGACAAAGGCCCGCTAAGCTCAAGCTGTAAATTTTAAAAAACGGACGGGGCCTAAAAATATATTTTTTAATTAAAAATAAATTATATCGTTAATCGGAAAATCAAATAATCGTTTAATATTCATTTAAGGGAGAGCGAGAATAGCGTTATCCTAAGTGTAGGTATTTTCTTATCAAATACAAATATACCTTGAATTTAAAATTTAAATAAAAGATGTGTTTAAGATTTTTTGAATAAGATGCCTCCCGTTATTTAAATATTTGCCCGGGTTGCGGCCCGATAATTTATGTTTTTTACCAATTTACCAGCTTGTTAAATTATTTTTTTAAACTAATTTTCCTACCCATTAAAATCTTACGAAAATTCACGTTCGTACAAATTTTTTTCGACAAAATTTCCGATTTTTAATATCTATGTAATCTAATTCTTGCCAATGGCAATTAAGGTGCTTATATCTACCTATTTCTACAACAACCGTTTTATCATGTAATTGTGTATTTATATCTATATTGTGGATTTGTAATTGGATCATATCATAAATAAATATTTTTTTAGTTTGATAACTCTTCAAATATTAAGAAATGAGAATATTGTAATTTATTTTAAAATAGTATTAATCAAGATTAGAGGTGGGCGCGAGTCATGAAATTACGCGCGACACTATGGGTCACGGCGTGAGTGTGAAAATTTTTAAATAATTATGCCTGACTGGGATTGTGGGCTTTCCCAAAATTTTTGCCAGGCATGATGGGGCGAATTAGCAATTTTATAATTATAATATATATTATATAATTTAATTATTTTTGAAAAGGAATAATTCTTGAAAACAAAAAAAAACGCATTTTATAAATATAATTTTCTCCCACTTATAAAATTTTAATTAAATAAAAAAAATTAAAGTATCTCAACTCCTGTTCAGCAATGGAAGTTTGGTAATAAATTTAATGTTTTATTTTATGTGCACTCAAATTATAATCAGTCAAAATTTAAAGGAAAATTAAACATCTGAATTACTTATTGTTTAAATTTTCTCATATTTACCTATAAATCTAAAAGATAATTGATGTAATTGCCTTATACATGCTGTTTAAAATATAAAGGATACAAGTACATTCAAAGATTATAAAAGAATACCATGTTCATGCTATATTAAATACCATAATGCATTATATTTTTAATAATTGCTTATCTGAAATAGCTTTAAGTATAAATATATATAAAAAAAAATAGTTGAATATTTTAAGCAATCTGTGCAGCAAACAGTAAGTTAAGTTATTCCATTAAACAAGATAACCCAGTCGAAAACAATTGGCTAGACCTCTCTTAGATAAAGCTTTTGAAGATATTTTGAAAACTTTGGTATAATAATTTTTTTTCAGGTAAACATGCCAAGTGCTTTCACTATAGAAATCATTCATTTACATTAATTAACATTGGCATGACACAAGCTAAGATTCCTCTATATAATGTTGCAATAACTAGAAATTTCGATGAACTCTAGATTCATACGAGGCTGAAGAAACTATTTATGGTATAAACTAGGCCTATTCAAAAACGAATTCGAATCCAATAATTTACTATTCGCATTCGTACGAATAATAAAATCTATTATTTTTATTCAATTCGAATTATCCGCCGAATAATTGAAATGAATTTTCTTAATAAAATAAATCATACTCAAATGTATTGACAAATTTTTTATTGCAAATTTGATTTCAAACAGAAAATATTATTATAATAATCTGATAATAAAAAATATGTAATCAATAATCTGATGATAAAATATTTATAATAAGTGTACATTATTAATTTAATTTATAATTCTAAGATAATTTTTAAGGCAAAGAGTTTTTCTTATATTTTCTTTCTTTACGACAGATTTTTTGACAATAAATAAGTTCGAACTAAGAAAAGCCTTTCATAAGCAGTTGTTCTTTGTATAGATAGGTAATCCCTTCATTTTCGAGAGTATGGGGATCCGATATGCATTTGCCTTCCACCACATTTAACGGGTCAGTATTACTCTTTGCTCACTCAGACAAAAATTTATTTCACATAGTTGAATATTATTTTGTTTAAAAACAATTTGTCCGTTAATTTGGATATATCAATATCATAATCAACAGATATTGATTTAAAATATTCTATTTTAAGGCTGGGATAAAATATTGTGGATATCATTGCATCATCGGCAGTTAAATTATAACAGCCCAACAATTCATCATATGCTACTTTGAAACTATTATTAAAGGATTTATGGAAACCAGGTTTTTCATTTTTAGGTGTTCAAGAATCAGAATAACCAAATTATTAGTAGGATAATTCTCCCCACATACCATATTTGTAGTTTCATACAAAGGCAATAGGATAGCTTTAATTTTTGTAAGATCCACCCATTCCTCCTGTTAACAAAGTATATTCCCTAATTATAAATTTTAGTTTACATCTGATATTTGTTTTTCTTGGAGAAATTTAATATTAGTTATCACTTCATTGACTAATTTTGTTATAGTGGGTTTTAATAATAAGCCTATTTCAATCATTCGGTAGGTGCTATTCCACCTTATTTCACAATCCAATTTTAGTTTTAAAAAATTTAGGGGAGGGGTAGTGAACTACATATATTTTTTAATAAATTAAATTTTTTGGGAGAATTACGAATCATTCTGCTAATGTTTCTCAGTTTTAAAATAGAAGGATCTAAAATTTCTTTGAAAATTAAATTAATTACATGGGCAAAGCATCGGATTCGGATGTGCCCTATTTTTATTAATAGATATTTTAAAGAAAATGTATCAAAATATATATTTTATTATTAGTTGAAATATCTAAAGTTATATAAAAAATTTTATTTTCCAAATTATAATTTTAAATTATTTTAGTCTGATTCTGTACCATACGAAAAGAAATTTTTAAGCAAAAAGGAAGATTAATAAATAATATTGAGTTATATGGAGTAAAAATTTTAAAAATAACGTCAAGGGGACGAATAATTGAAATATACCCTATGCCTAAAATGGGTACACTCAAAAGATCCTTATTTTAATAATTTCCTTACATTTCTTTTATTGCAATGATGATTAATGTATAATTAAAAGAATAGATGTTAAAATGTTTAATAAAACAGCAAAATTGCATTCGATTTA